AAAGGACCTTAGAGAGAAAAGAACATAAAGTGGTTGCTTGAAAAATTTATTTGCAAATTTGAAGAAGTTTAAAAGATATAAAAGACGTAAGAAAGAGAGATGTAAGTCGAGACGTTTCCGGTCGGAAAAATCTCATTAAGAGACTGGAGGAAAAAGACTTCTCCAGAAAAAAAATAAGGTCAGGGCAAAGGCCTCGATCCCTCCGCGGGAGAAAACAAAGATCGATCCAGACGCTTCTGTCAAAAAACCCCCCAAAAGCAATTTTCGGCCCCAAAAAAATGAAATCCCCGTTTACGAATTGATGACAGCGGGTGACTCACTATGGCAACGGGGAGGCGACGAAGGTGGCCCAGCCGCGGAGGGAGGCAAGCAACACAATGACGGAAGGCGAGCGCAGGAGGGCGCGCAGGGAGTGGCGCGGAAACGCCACTGCGCATGCGCACTGGTTCCGCGTAGAATCGGCTGCTTTTCTCGCTTCCTTGTTGAGTCCTTTTCAGTCTTCCTTTTTGCTTTTTCTTTTATTGATGACAGCCGAAAAAAACGAGGAGGGAGAAGAAGAGAGATGACAGATGACGAGACGTGGAATCGTTGGAGGCGTGGGTGGAGGGATGCTCCCGCTGCATCGCCGCTGAGTTCTCGCCTGGGGATCCACAACGAAATATCAGCAGTGGCGGACGATTGAATTTGTAATTTATCGGGGGATACATGATGATTGGGTGATTCGGGGGGATACGGGGGTCGTTCGGAAAGTTTTGAGATGCGCGAGGAGAAATTGATCGAACTTCATTTCACCCTGCATTTGCACCCTCTCTTTGGCACCCCGGAAATTGTTTCTTAACCCTTAATATCCGTCCGGCAATGTCCGGCGGCGGTAACTTGCTGCACCTCTCCCGTTCGGTCTTTTCTTTAAATATTTGAAATCTGACAGTGTCATTTGAAAGATGACATTGTCATCTTTCCAAAGTAAAATCCCAAATTAAAATCCAATAACAATTATGGAAGTTATGGTTGTTTAAGTAAAAAAAAATGCTATGCTCTCTAGACATTTAAACCACAATCTCCTCTGGAATCAGGCTGTGCAAATGGATTTAAATCCCCCGGTACCGAAGGGTTGACGAGTAATGACGGCATCTTCTGGACTTGCGACCCGCTTCCCTTCAAATGAATCTTTGACTCTCGTGAACAAAGCCATCGTAGGGATCCCAATTAACACTATAGGACCGGGTAAACAAAAGTTTACCCGGTCCTATAGTAGAAAAGTTTTTCTTACAGGCAAGCCATTGTCCTTGCTGCCGTGTGGCGAGAGGAATTTGCAGAGACCACTGAGCCCAGGGAGTTGTGTTTTTTTTCTGGTATTTTTTGGAAGACTTTGGGCAGGGAGACAGTCGGGTAAAACTCGATTCGATTCCATTCGATATTCTTCAGTCCTTCTTAGCCAAAACTCTTCCTCTCTTTACGTTGGTTGGCATGCCTTCCCAACGAGACGCCCAAACTGCAGATAGCTTCTTTGTTTCCGGGTCGTACTGATGAACACATGGTTCCTTGCTGGTGTCGAAACTCCATTTTAAGCGTTCTTCTTGAAAAGTTTGGCGAATATACTCGCAACATTCCTCTCGGTCCACCTTCTGCTCGTCTGGCAAGTTGTTGCGGACCCAGAGACAAAATACAACTCGTATGTTTGGTCTCCACGAACCATAGTTTCCACTTTCTGTATTTTTTCTTCGGTGCAAGCGGTTGCAAGCAGCTGCAGGTGTCATCGTCAATGCTGGTTCTTCCGGCAAAGCAGCGTGAAACTAAGCTATGGAAGACGCTCCGTCCCAAAATATAACACGAAACACGAATTACTGCGCTAAATTTAAAGCACTTATCTGGTCATAGAGAATCATGGCGAGGAAGTGCTCCTTGCTCGGGTCCATGGTGCCGACTGAGAGAACGCATGAAACCTAACTTAAAAAAAAATTCCATAAAATGAAGTTCGGCTGGAATCAGGTTGAAACTTGTTCACAATTGTTAGAAAAGAACAAATTTCGACCTGTTTCAATCACACTCTACGCAATCTCGATTTTGCTCATCTGAAAATTTTCTGAGTGACCCTCGTAATCGTCTGGGGTATGGGGTTTGAGTGTTTTGGAGGAGGAATTTTGGATTACCCGCGGGTCGCGTCGCATCATGACGATCCCATCCCTTTATAAGGTAAAATTCCTCCTACAATCCACTTTCAGACAAAAAAAAAACGAAAAAATGTCTATATACAAAGCAAAAGTAAATAAATAAAATAAAAATTTAAAAAATGGCTGACCATAAAATTATGCAGCCGGTTGCATGAGTGATTCCTTTTACCTTGGATGACATGAAGTTGGACGGTGGAGGACGAGGAAGCGGGAGAAGAGGATTCGTGAAGAGGAAGGCTGCACGAATAGAGACCGGAATCTTGTGGTTTCGCGTCGAGGATCAAGAGACTGGAAGTCCGATCTCGAGATTCCACCAGCATGGAAGGAGGAGAGGAGGAATCGGGCGAGGTCAGGAGGAGAAGGGTTTGGTCGTCCTTCTTCCATCTGACGTCGGAGCCGGAATGTTCGCGGGAGTCCGCGTGGTGGATCGCGCACGTCACGTTCACCGTCTCACTCTCCTTCACGTACAGGTCCCGCGGGCCCAGGATCCCGACCGCGGTCGCGGGGGAGCCCGTGCCTCGCGCCACGTTCAGGCGGTAGGTGAGGCTCTTCTTGGGCTCCGTGTTGATCTGGCACTCGTAGGTCCCGGCGTCCCTCGCCGACGCGTTCACGATCTCCAGGGTCCAGTCGCCGCTGCCTTCCGCGTGGAACATGCGGAAGCGGGGGTCGGACGTGTACACGAAGATCCCGCTCGTCAGCACGTGCAGGTCTTTCTTCCGGATCCACGACACCTGCGACACCGCGAATGCACCACGACGGTCATCGAAGAAATTACAAAGTTTCAACTTTTGCGCGAAGCGAGAATCGTGGTCATTGGAGTCATTCAGTGAAAATTTAAAATTAAAACAAGACAAACATAATGAAATCTTGGGAGCAATTCAGAATCAATCAAGTTCAATATTGATGAACAAGGCAGTTTCCGTTCAATTTTTCTTGCTTCCTTTTCTTTTCCAGACGGTCTCATTGAAGTTTCACGCTTCATAGAACTGCTCATTGTACAATAAAAATGAGCCAATTTTAAGTCGATACGTTCACCGGCTACACTGCCAATCCTTCAATGCGTTGGTGCAGCAGGGATTCAAACTTCCCAACGCTTTATCCTAAGTGAAAATTAAGTTCTCCGTCCAAATTCATTTTCACGTAAGACTCACAATGTCTCTTTTTTTTCAGGGGCGACGCCGAAACGCCTCGAAAACGAGACCAATTTCAATTTTATAAACTGTTTTTTGCTTGCCTTCTTGCTTTGGACGACGAATTTCGGAGAATTCGATGAGATTTCTCCGTGCTTTTGTTTTCCTTCTATTTTCAATCACCGCTTTACGCAGCGAAATAAAGCTCAAACCCCCATGAAATTTATGTATGGTCACGAATCATCCACTCCACCGACTGTAAGTGGTCCTCGGTCCATTTCCCCTTTAAGACACCGTTCTCCACAAACTCGCAGCGAAGAAACGCACCCTGAGACTCGGGCGCGACCACCCTTACAAAACGTCCACCCCCTACCACCCCCTATCCACCTGGCTGAACAACCAGGTGGATAGGGGGTGGATTTTGAAACAGGTGGACTCCCCCCCCCCCCCCCCCCCCCCC